AAATGAATGAAGATCGATTAGAGGACATGATCCGTGATGTTGGGGAAGAGGCTTTTGAACGAGCACATGTGTATGATAACTTGTGCACTGACGCAGAGAAGCCTCTATACCCGGGGTGCACTGATTTTAGTTTGTTATCTGGGGTGTTAAAACTAGTTACCTTAAAGGCAAGAGCTGGGTGGAGTGATCAAAGTTTCACATGGTTGTTAGAGTTACTTCAAATAATGTTTCCGAAGGGCAATGTACTACCAAATCGTTATTATGATGCCAAGAAGATCTTGTGTCCAATGGGTATGAAGTATAAAAAAATACACGCATGTCCTAATGATTGTGTGTTGTACAGAAAAGAGCTTGAAGGGGAGGAGAAGTGTCCGAAATGTGAGGCACCACGGTACAAAGAGAAGGGGGCTCCTACAAAAGTCTTATGGTATCTTCCAATTATACCAAGGTTCAAGCGTTTGTTTGCAAATACTAATGATGCAAAGAACTTGATGTGGCATGCAAATGAGAGGATATCTGATGGAAAACTTTGACATCCAGCCGATTCTCCTCAATGGAAGAAAATTGATCAATTGTTTCCCGAATTTGGCAATGAGCCAAGGAACTTGAGGCTTGGACTTTCTACCGATGGAATGAATCCTTATGGTAGTCTTAGTAGTATACATAGTTCATGGCCTGTTCTTTTGGTGATTTACAATCTATCACCTAAGTTGTGCATGAAACGGAAGTACATGATGCTATCCATGTTGATTTCGGGACCAAAACAACCGGGAAATGATATTGATATTTACCTAAGACCTCTGATTGAAGATTTGAAAGTGTTGTGGGAGGTAGGTGTGGAAATGTTTGATGCAAATCAGAAGGAGAATTTTAAGTTACGTGCTATGATCTTTTGTACTATAAATGATTTTCCTGCATATGGAAATTTGTCTGGTTATAGCGTGAAAGGTCATAAAGCTTGTCCAATTTGTGAAGAAAGCACAAACTACCATCAACTTCAACATGGAAGGAAGACAGTCTACCTTGCCATCGAGGTTTCTTAGACGAGATCACCCATATCGTAGATTGAAGAAAGCTTTTCATGGTCACCAAGAACACAATGATGCTCGGATGCTTTGACTGGGGATCAAGTATATGAACGTGTGAAAAACATTAATATTGTCTTCGGTAAGACTAAAAAGAATACTGGTGCAAAAGCATATGGAAAAAAAGGTCTATCTTTTTTGACCTCCCATATTGGCGCAATCTTGAAGTAAGGCATTGTATTGATGTTATGCATGTGGAGAAAAACGTTTGTGATAGTATTATTGGAACGCTTCTGAACATACCAGGTAAGACTAAGGATGGTGTGAATGCAAGATTGGATTTGAAAGAAATGGGAATACGGGAAGACTTACACCCAAGACCAGAAGGTAAACGAACTTATTGTCCCCCAGCCTCTCATACATTGTGCAAATCTAAGAAAACAAGTTTTTGTGAGTGTTTACATGGAATCAAAGTTCCTTCAGGGTATTCTTCAAATATTATGAAGCTTGTATCTGTGAAAGAGTTGAAACTGGTAGGCTTAAAATCTCATGATTGCCATGTCTTGATGCAACAACTATTACCTTTGGCTATTCGAGGCATATTGAAAGAAGATTTAAGACTTACAATAACCAGACTTTGTTTCTTTTTCAATGCTATATGCAGTAAAGTTATTGATCCCCGTAAACTGGAAGAGTTAGAACAAGAAGCTTGTACTATCTTGTGCCAACTTGAGATGCACTTTCTTCCTACATTTTTTGACATTATGGTTCACTTAATAGTGCATCTAGTAAGGGAGGTAAAATTGTGTGGCCCTGTTTATTTGCGATGGATGTACCCAGTTGAGAGATACATGAAAATACTGAAAGGGTATGTCAGAAATCCATTTCGACCCGAAGCATCAATAGTTGAGAAATATGTTGCTGAAGAAGCTATGGAGTTTTGTTCTGATTACTTGTCAAGTACAAAATCAATTGGACTTCCTAAATCTTGTCATGAGAAAAGGCAATATGGTCAAGGCACACGTGGAGTATCAGTGAAGAGCATGAATCATGATGAATTACAAGAAGCACATTTATATATCTTGAATAATATTGATGAAGTTAAAGATTACATATCTTCTCATAAAGAACTTTTAAAGGCAAAAAATTATCGAATGAGAATGACAGAACAAAAGTTGTTAAAAGAGCATAATAGGACTTTTGTGAATTGGTTCAAGCAGAAAATTTTGAATGAAAGTGGTGTTTCTGAAACAGTTAAATGGTTGGCTGGAGGTCCTAACTTTGATGTTATATGTTGGAGTGCCTATGATATTAATGGGTATTCCTTTTATACAAAGTCTTTGGATGAGAAGAGTACGGTGCAAAATAGTGGAGTTATGATAATGGCTGAAGCCGTACACTTTTCTAGTTCAAAAGATATGAAACCTAAACTAGCATCCAGGACTTACTTTGGGGTTATTGAAGAGCTTGGGAGGTTGATTATACAAAATTTAGAGTTCCTGTTTTCAAATGCAAGTGGGTTGACGTCAATAGTATTCGTGATGATAAGTTTGGATTTACAATGGTTGATCTTAAAAAACTAACTTTTGGAGATGAGCCATTTATTATGGCAGACCAAGCTAAACAAGTTTTCTATGTCACGGATCCAGCAAATAAAAATTGGTCAATAGCACTTAAAGGAAAAAGGATGATTGATAGTAATGACGATCATGAATCAAATTTTGATATTTCTGAAACTCCTAACTTCTCAAGTGGGCTACCAATTTTGGATGTGGTAGATGAAGTAGATGATGAACATGCCATAAGAAGTGATCACCATGAAGGGATATGGGAGAATATCCCTATATGAGTTTAGTTTTGAAATTAAAGTATGTTAATTTAGTTCAATTAAATTTATGTTGTGGGATTGTTTTTCTTAATTATCTTATCTTTGATTATTTTTTAATTAATTTCATTTATTTGAATTAATAGGAATATGGAGAATCAAGGTGATGACACTCAGAGCCAATCAATTGGTGATGTTGCTCCTAGTGGGGAGCTAAGTCAGGGCACCCCTAGTGAGGAGCCGAGTCAGAGCCAGTCTGTGAGGAGGGGGAGACGTGGCACACGATTAAGAGATCTGACATTAAGTAGGAGTGCTGGGCGTAGGTTACCAATTCAATTTGACCGGAGATGGAATCCGATAGGGCCACATAAAGCCAAGTTTGTTAGTTTTCTTGGCCTCCTCTCACGTACCAAGCCTCCTATTGTGTTTGAGGACTAGCCTGATGTGCCAGAACGTGTGAAGGAACAGATTTGGGAAAGTATTCAGGTAAGTAATTAAAAATTAAAATTTTTTTATAGTTATATATTATTGGGCAATTATTGATTATTATCTTATGTCTTCATTGTAGCTCACATACGATGTTCCATCTAATCAAGATTGTCGACACAAATTGATTTCTTACTGTGGAACACGTTGGAGAAATTTTAAGACTGATCTTGCTAGAAGATATATCTTTATCGAGGTGCCAGAGGGTCAGGCTCGTCCCAATCCTCTTGATACATACCAGTTCCTTGATGAAGATACTTGGAAGAATTTGTCAGGATTCGGACTTTTGAAAAGGCTATGGTTTGTTAACTTTTAATTTATTTAAGTTTTATTTAGATTTACTTTAATTATAAATCTAAAATTTAATTTATTAACAGGAAAAACGAGCTAAAGGGCGAGAAATTGCTCGGCAGAATCAATGCCCCCACACCTTATCTCGTGGAGGTTATGCTAGAGCTGATGATATACTGATGGCAGAGAAACAAAAGAAGAGAGAAGAAGAAGCCAAGTCTGATCCTTCCATACTCCTTTCTCCACCATCACCTGTCTCTCGAGAGGAGAAATGGAGATATGGACATCAGTATAAGAAAGGAGGCTATACAAGTGAGACAGCATGGGAGATTGCCGAGAGGATTGTAAGTAAAATTATTATTCCTTGTCCCTTTAAATTTCTATACAATTGTATATATTATTAATTAATATTGTTATTTTTATATTATAGGATACTCTTAAGGAGCAACAAGCCCAAGGAAGCTTCATTTCAGAGGGCAGAAATGATATCTTAACAGTTGCTACAGGCAAGCCAGAGCATCCGGGTCGTGTGAGGGGCGTTGGATATGGTGTGGGCATTAAGGACTACTTTGGAGCACCTGCACGTCCCAATTCAGGAGGTGTAGTGACTAGAGAAGAGCTTGATACATTGATATCCACTGTGAGGCAACAGACTAAGGATGAGTTTGAAGCTTCATTTGAAGCTCGGCTTCTACAAATGAAAGAGCAAATGAAGGAGGAGATGATGAGCATGATGAGCTCACGACAGGAGACAACTGCTGAACCAGTTCATACATCTCCTGCATTTCATAGTACAAAAGGGAGTAATATTCTTGAGCATGTGTCAGAGGGTCCTTCTGGTGACAACATTGGTGAACCATGTGAGATATTTCTAGAAGATCCTGATAAACGCTTGGTTGCTCTTGGTAGCATCTATAGCTTGGGGTCAACCATCCACCACAAGCAAATTCAAGATGATCAAGTAAGAGTGGTGGTTGCAGATCCAAAAGTGCCAGATGCTTTGGTTCCATTCCCTACTGATGAGGTGAAGACTGTGGTTGAAGCTGTTGGCAATTTTATCCTATGGCCCAAGAGACTTGTGAATCTAGTTCAAGCTGTGGTACGAAATTTCATAAATTTTTATTATGTAGCAACTTCCTAATATATGTTTTTTATTAACTATTTCTTGTCTTTTATTATGTAGAAGCTTTCCTCGTCGAATCTCCCAAAGCTTCCACAACCCTCGTTGACTCTGCATCAGCGAATGATTTTAATGGCGTATGATTTATCATTCGAGTTCAAGAGTTTAGAAATGGATCGGAGGTTGTGGGCAAGAAAGACATGATAGTGACAATTGAACGGGAAGATTTGGTTCGACTTCTGTCAAATAATCAGCTTACCACACCACACATTGAACTATTTATGATGTAAGTATATTTTTCTTTAATATAATTGCATTGTTGTAAGTAAACTTAATCATCAAGTTTAGTAAACTAATATAATTGCATTGTTGTAGGTATCTTCATCATTTGTGCATTACATCGGGCAAAGGTGATAAGTTTGGATTCCTTTGCCCTCATCACATGACAGAGAAAGGTAATACTCCAGAGTTAAGGGCCGCGTACCTCCAACAGAGAATATGTGAAGTCAAAAAGGATGTTTTTATGGCTCCATATGTGCACTCGTAAGGATCAATTTATAATTAATAGTTTTTTAATATGGATTTACTTTAACTTGTATCATATTTAGCAGGGACCATTGGCAGTTATTTGTTCTTTCAATGAAGAGCAACACTGTCGTCTTTTTATGCTCCCTCCATTACAAACTTGGGAAAGAAATGAAGAAGATGATAGACTTGTAAGAATACTTTTACTAAACTATTTAATTTAATTTTTTTGAATATTTTTACTAACTTGGTAATCTTGATCATAGGGCAATGAGAACATATCAAAATGTAGTCTACAAAAGCATGGACATGAGCTCAAGGATCCCACATGGATTGAGCCAAAGGTGATGCTATACTTTATTAATATGTTCAACCATTAAGATTTCTTACTAATTTTTATGATTTGTTCTTATATAGAGTCATAGACAACTGGTGAGGACGAACTTGTGCGGTCTATATGTCATGAGGCACATGCTCAATATTATCACATTAGGCATGACCGAATTTACAAAAGAGGTAAATATATATATTTTTAAATATTTTATTTTATTATGTTATTTGAAATTGATTAATATGCCTACTTTATGAATTAAATTTTAGATGTTCGACAATTGGATGCATTTTCTGAAGCTAAAATTGAACACATCCGCATACGTTGGGCAACCTATTTTGTGGAGAACTTGTGAGGTTTTTTGTTACTTTTAGACATGTTTTAATTTTGATAGTTGACACAATTTAGATAATTATTAGTTTTCCTAATAGTTAAATAGTTTTGTATAGTTGATAAATACTTGATAAACAATTGTAAATGAATTGAGCTGTCTGATTTGGCAATTTTTATGCACAGGAATGGCAATTTTGACAATTTAGACAATTATTAGTTTTTTAATAGTTAAATAGCTTTGTATAGTTGATAAATACTTGATAAACAATTGTAAATTAATTGGGCTGTATGATTTGGCAATTTCTATGCACAGGAATGGGTAAAATCAATAAAATAAATATAATATAAAAAAATAAAATACTTTTTACACCGGTTATTACCACAACCATTGTAAAATATAATATTTTTTACACCGGGTCACCTTTTACACCGGTTCCGCTCCCAATCGGTGTAAAAAGTTCACCTTTTACACTGGTTCCTATCCCAACCGGTGTAAAAAGTTAAAGTAAATTTTTTTTTAATTTTCTTGTATATAACTTTCAATATCGGCTCTATAACCGATGTAAAAAAATTTAATTTTTACATCGGGTTTATAACCATATAACCGATGTAAAAAGAGGGACTTTTTACATCCCCTGGAACAACATGTCTCGTTAATCGCTGTAAAAAGTCATTTTTAACCGCTGTAAAAAGTTATTTTTGTACTAGTGATTATCGGTTTGGTGCCATTTCACAAGAGAAAGAAGAAAATGACTAAGAAAGTGACAGCTTGATTAGGTGGCAACAATTTAGATTAGGTGGCATAAGAACAATATTGGAAGGAAGTGAAATTCAATAGGTGGTAGCGATTGATGTTTGGAAAATTGTTTTCGGTAAAATAAAATTTCTATCCACCACTTTCCATAATCTCAATTGCACTTATATATATATACCCTAGTAGCGTTATGCTCTTTCATACTTTTCCTTACTTCTGCAAACAAAACCAAGAGAGGAAGAGCATGAGAAAGGCTTGGGCAAATCATGAGAAGAAGAAAAGAAGGAGCCAAGTTAGATTACTTCTAAGGCAGCAAAGCTTATATTTTACTTGAGTATATATATTTAGTTTTCTTAAGTAGGATAACTTGATAGTGTTGAATATGTAAGAATGCTATCCACAAGTTTATGCTATGCTATCCCTTGATAAATGATTGAGTTATGATTATTGGAGAACAAATCTAGAATATGGTTAATCTCTTACGTTCTGTGTGCTAATGAAATTATATGCACAACTTTGAATAAGTGCATGCTAATCCACTTGAGTTAGCTACCTATGTATATATATCTTAAGTAAGTGAATGTTTTGCTACTATGATTTTCATAATCTCACTCCCCGCAATTTACTAACCATGCTAGGGCCTAGCACAAGTAAAGATAAAGGAAAAGCTAGTGAAGTTTGAAGTTATGGATTTATTCTGATGAGTTTTGTGTAAATATTATAGTACATGTATTTATGTTTGGGCTACAAACTTCTGAATGTTGCTGTTGTAGTATGATATGAAGTGTTTTTGGATTATGTTGAACTATTTTGGGTTCGTATGTAATCTAAAAATGCAATAGTCAACCTAGTTGTAAATAAATGACTGTATAAGTTGAAAATGTGTATGCTTTCTATAACAGAGTTTTTGTGTTGGTACTGATTTTAGAAAACCATAAAATTTATGACTAGTTAATAGACATTTTAAGATTTCAAATGTTACCTAGATCACTTTATTTGAGTTAGTAAAGCTTGAGATGTGATTTTTCATATATGCAAGTCTAGAAATAAGATTAAAGGGTTAGGTCTAGAATAGGGGTCAAGAATTGACATAAAAACTGTATTAATTGGACCTTATAAAATTTTCAAAATATTTTTCAAATATATTAGACTTATCTAGCTTTTAAAAAAAATCAAAAATCACACAAAAATGAGTTTTCTAGAATTAATGGTGAATTTTCAAAGTCTACATAGAGATTTTGGAGTAAGCTAAGTGTCCAATGTGAGTAGTCAACTTGCACGAATTTACTATATGAATTGGGCTCAGTTATGTTCAGTTTAAAATTTTTCTTTAATCAACAAGATTTTAAGTTTTCCAAAAAGTCCAAGATCATATTATTTGGATCCCTACAACTTTAGACATTAATTTTCCAATTTAAAGGTGTAAAATTTGGATCCAGAATAATGGACAAACATAAGTGTTTTTAACGAATACGTAAATAATGTCAAATAGTCATTTGTACAATTTTTGTGATAGAGGATCTTATAGCTTTCAAACTAAATCATAAGCACTTCATTTGAATGAGAATAACTCAAGTTATATAGTCTATAAAAATAATAATAATAATGAATTTGAACAGAAAATAAATTAAATTCCTTAAGTTCATGAAATGAATTATAATAGAAGGGATATTATTATTTGTCCCTTATAAAGGAATGGTAGGTTTGTAATATGATGAGACAAGGATCCTCTCAATTCAATATTTATAGACTTAGTTAGGATTGTTCCTCAAAATTGATTAGAAAATTCAAAAGAATTTTTGAATAGTATCATGTGATGCTTTTGGTCATTTGTTTATAATTATTAATTTTGAAGGTAATTGATTCATTTATATCTTAAAATTGTTTCTCTACTAGTCTAGAAATGTAAATAAAGCCTTTAGAAATGAGAAGTGACACAAACATATTTGGGTACCTAAGAAAACCTAATGTTTGTGTAGGTATCAAGGAGAGTCACACATGAAAAATGGCACCTAGACAGTAGTTGCTCCAAGCACATAACTAATGATGGTTCTATGTTTCTATATATGGTAGAAACAAAAGATGATGGCATTGTTAACTTTGGAAACAATGAAAGGGAAAAATTGTGGGTATTGGTAAGGTTGGTAAGAATTCCACCGACTCACTGTACATTGATAATGTTTATTTAATTGATGGTTTAAGACATAACCTTTTAAGCATAAGTCAATTATGTGACAAAGGTTATGAAGTGTTATTTAATGTTGTGTGCTGTGTTGTAAGAGATGAGAAAAAAAGGAAAAATCATCCTAGGAGGAAAAAGAATTTAAAATGTGTACTCCATTAATCTCTATGATTATTATTCTTTAAACACCAAATGTATGATATCTATGAATGTTGAGAGCTGGCTATGACATACAAAACTAGCTCATATGAATATGAAGTAACTGGACAAGCTTGTTAAAAAGGATCTTGTCATTGGTTTACTAAAAATAAAGTTTGAAGCTAACAAGTTATGTGATACTTGTATGGAGGGAAAGCAAGTCAAGATCACATTTCACAGCAAGAATGTAGTGTCAACTTCAAGACCTCTTGAATTGCTTCATGTTGACTAAGTTGGTCCAATAATGGTAAAGTGTTTAGGGGGTAATCTCTATACTTTTGTTATTGTTGATGATTATTTTAGGTTCACATGAACTATCTTCATGTCTCACAAAGATCAAACCTTTGATTATTTTCTAGTTTTGCAACCAAAGTTCAAAATGAAAAGGGTTTGAAAATTGTGAAGATAAGAAGTGACCATAGTGGAGAATTTGACAATTTCAATTTCATTAACTTTAGTAAAAAAATAGGGTATAAGTCATGAATTCTCAACAGCAAGAACTCCTCAACAAAATTAAGTGGTGGAAAGAAAGAACAAAACATGAGAAGAACTGGTAAGGCATGCTACATTAATTTCATTATGTTTTGTTGAATGAAAAGAAGCTACCAAAGTATTTCTAGGTTGATGCTATGAGCACAACATGCTACATCACTAACAGAGCCTATGTAAGACCAATCCTCAACAAGACACCCTATGAGCTCTACAAAGGAAGGAAGCCCAACATCTCACATTTGCATGTATTTGGCTGCAAGTGTTTTATTCTCAACAACAATAAGGACAATTTAGATAAATTTGATTCTAAAAGTGATGAAGCTATTTTTTAAGGATATTCTAATAGAAGCAAAACTTTTAGAATCTTTAATAGAAGAACTTTAACTGTTGAAGAATTTATACATGTCATATTTGATTAATCCTTTTATATGAGATCAAAGAAGGAGGAAAATCAAACCAACAATGATTCTGTGACTAGTGATTTAAATAGGTAGGTAAATAATCTTTCAAAAGTTGGAAATATAGCAAGTCCTATCCTATTGATTATGTCATTAGATAAGTTAGTGACATAGTTTCAACTAGAGGTTCACTCAGAGAAATATGCTATTTTAGTGCATTTCTTTCTAATATTGAACCTTATAACATTAAAGAAGCTTTATTTGATGAATATTGGCTTATAACTATGCAAGAAGAGTTAAACTAATTTGAAAGAAGTTAAGTTGGGAATTAGTGCCTAGACCTAGCGATTATCCAGTAGTTAGAACAAAATGGGTCTTCAAAATAAGCCTGATGAAAATAGAATTGTGATTACAAAATAAAACTAGACTATTAGCTAAAGGTTATAATTAAGAAGAAGGTATTGATTATGATGAAAACTTTGCTCTAGTTGCTAGACTTAAGAT